AAGCTATAACTGGAACAAAGGCAAATCTGAGGGTACAGCACAACAGAGAGCAAAGGAAAACACAGGACCTATATACACAGAGGATAATCACAAAACAGGAAACAGGAGGGAGACACAGCTGGGAGAAATTAGGCCTAACGAGACAGGGGGAAGCACAACTAGACTCACTGCACATAAGACGTGGACCTTCAAAGTAAAACAGGAAACAAGAAACAAATCACCAAGATGCAAACTTGACACTGAACAACACCTATAATAATAGTCACAACGGCACAACTAAAGAATCAGAACATAAATCATAATACAGAAGAATACCAACACATAATAACTGACAAAATTGGGCAAAGTAACTATGACATCCATAATCATCACGTAGTTTCTAAATCATTTATTTGTTTTCCTCTTAATGTTACTGTTTTTTGTTTCAGCAACAGACACCTTATTATTTATGACATGGTAACCTAACATATCGGAGCCTCCAGCCTTTTCAGTGCTCTTGTGTTTTCAGTGTTTCGTTCAGCTCCTGAGGCTCACGCCGTGTTCCTGCGCCCTAAACGGGCCAACTCGTTCATTTTAGAGGAGATCCTACAGGGCAACTTGGAGCGGGAGTGCTACGAGGAGCAGTGCAACTTTGAAGAGGCTCGCGAGTACTTTGAAGACACCCGAAGGACGGTTAGTTAAATTAAAAAAGGGAGCTTTTGCACTCATTTCTACACCTGTTTTTTTACTTTTAGATTCCAGTAAACACAGACTAAAACAATATGTTTTAGGTTCTGATTCTTTAGGGTTCTGGCTCATTAAAAGACCACCTACTCATTTTTGATTTGCCTTTTTTTTTATGTCTGTGTTACATTTGATGTTCTCTGTTTCTTTTTAATTGCTCCTTGGGATGCACCCAGAGCTGCCGTCTTAATCCAGAGCCTGTTTATGTCATATTTGAAAATTTAGTTTAATGATCATCTTTAAACATACATAGAAAAAGGAGAAAAAACAAAACAAAAAGAGCATTGCTTAATTCCTCTCGGATTCTAACGTTTTTTTGTTTGTGTGTAGATCACGTTCTGGGCTGTTTACTCTGGTGAGTATCTACTTTCAGCTAAACTGCATTTGATTAATTAATGAAATAAAATAAATTAAAAAAAACATTTATTTTCCAACTAGAAACTGCAGTTTGATAATTAAAATGTGTTTAGAATGTATTTTAATAATATTTTTGTTGATTTACTGTCATCAAATGTATTATTTTAAATGTAAATATTTGATTTAATAGTTTTACAGCAAAAATATAAACATTTATTAGTTTACTAAACACTAGCAGTTTCTGTTTTTGGTCTTTGGAGGTGGAAACCACTGCTTGCAGAGTCCCTGTCTGAATGGAGGGAACTGCACTCACAATGTGCGGGGGTTTACCTGCTCCTGCAACGCCCCTTACTACGGTCCAGTCTGTGAATTGAAAGTACAGGATGAGGCATTACAGACTATAAGGTCGTCCACAGCACAGCAAACCAAAACAGCAGGTCTGACCACACCTCCGTAAAAGGACGGGAGATCAAAACTCATGGTGCACTAATGGGAATTAAGACATATCAGACCATCACGTATAAAAAAATGATTTGTTTTCCAAATCTATCTTAGAGATATCTAAGTGTCCGACTGAGAGTCCGACTGCTTGTCATCAGCTATGCACAGTGACCTACGAGTCCTTCCGATGCTCCTGCATGTCTGGATTCAAGCTGCACAGCGACGGACGGAGCTGTCTGCCAGAAGGTTGGATGCTCCGAAAAAACACTAGACTTTATGAGACCAGTTCAAACTGGTGAGATGAAGTTTTATTGTTGTCTTTGTTTCCACAGTCGAGTTTCCCTGTGGAAGACTTCCTGAGGAAACTCTTTCCTCGTGTCACCATGGTAACTGTCCCTGGCAGGTAAGATCCTCTGGTACTGTGGTGTCAGTCTAAATAAAACCAGAATAATAAATAAATTGTCTGTTTACTGCCACCAGGTGTCTCTGCTGAACAGCACACTGCAGAAGTTGTGCAGTGGTGTGGTGCTGGGTCAGCGGTCCATCCTTACCTCTGCCCGCTGCCTCTATCAGGACTCAGAACCAAAACCCTCCAACCTCTATGTGCTTGCTGGTAAGAAAATGCTATCACAATTATTGTTATCACACCATGATAACACTATAATAACTACTACTAAATTAAAATATAGAAAGGATGACGTATAGACATCAATTTCTCATCCATTCAGAATAAAAATCTAAAAAAAAGTCACGTCATTACATTTTAAATTTTACTGTTTTTAAATTTGCTTCTGTTAGTCAGAGTTTGCAAAAGAACAGACATCCTGTACTTAAGTAGAAGTACAAACACTAGTGTTGAAAAATACTCATGTAAAAGTAGAAGTATTGATTCAGCTTCTTTAATCAAGTAAAAGTGAAAAGGGGGCGGCTCTGAAATGTACTGTGAGAAAAAAAGTAAAAGTAGCTTTTTGGAGGGCGTTCTTTTGTGCAAAGCTCACTGAACCATGTGCTTTAATAAAGTATTAATAAAATATTGTCAGTAGGGCCAGAAAAACTTTATTTTAGTCTAAATTTTTATTCTAATAAATGTAAGTACAACATCAGCAGAGGAAAATGTAAAAATACATGTTTCTATTTTCTGTTGCATGTATTGCAGAGGGTGGCTTTAAAAGGAAAGTATGGTCAGGGATTAAACTCAGATTAACCAGGTGGGGAAACCTAAAATCAGTTGTAATTGGCTCAGTGTGGGGAAAAGAATCGCACTTTAACTCCTGACACATCAGTTGGACGTTAAAATTGTAGGGAGTGAAAGTAAAAAATTGTCAGAAAAACGTATTTGAAGTATTTGTACTGTATATATATTTCAGGCTGCAAACAGGATGTGCTCACAGACAATTTGCCCAATTAAAAAAACAAAAACAAAACATGGATTCAGTTCTATCAAATGTTCAAATCACTGAAGACAATATTAAACCCAAACCAAAAAGTGGAAGAACTAGCCCTTACACACATTAAACCCTGAATAAGCCATTGACATACTGACAAATTAATGCAGTGTATGGACAGGTTTTACATCTTTGTTTCACTCTAGAAACTATATTTCAGATCAGATGAAGACAAATTGATTCAAAAGGTTTCAAAAGCCAAAGCTGTCCATCAGAAATTGATGGTTGACTACCGGCTATCCCAGCTACCATAGGGCGAAAGGCAGAGTACACTCTGGACAGGTCGCCAGTCTGTCGCAGGGCTAACACAGTGAGCCACACAAGCATTCACACTAACATTCACACCTGTGGGCAATTTTGAATAATCAGTTAACATAACCCCACTAGCTGCATGTCTTTGGTCTGTGGGAGGAGCCCGGAGTACTTGGAGAGACCCCACACAAACTCCACACAGAGAGGCCCGGCCAGTTGAACTCAGGACTTTTTTGCTGTGATGCAAAAGTTCTAACCATCATACCAGCTGCATTCATTCATATAAAAATCTTTGGCTGTGGCTGTACTTTGAGACGTTTATCCGTTATTAATTCACTTTTTGAGCTGCAGAGCGCTGTGTGCACACTGCTGAGTAAAAGGCACTGGTGTGCTCTACACTTTTCATTTACATCATGCAGTTCTTTCTCTATCCATTAAAATTAAGTTATTGCAAAATTATTATTTTCTTGATAAGTGAGCAAAGTTACAAATTCAGCAGGGAACCAAATATTTATTTCCCACAGTGTCGATCAATTCATTTCTTAACTAATTTCCTTTGTCTCCCAGAGAAACAGAGGATGCTCTTCACCGTCAAAGCGATGTACCTTCACAACGGTTATCATAAAGGTCACCATGAAAATGACCTCGTCCTCCTCGAGTTAGCTGACTCCATGACCTTTAGCCCCAGCCTCATCCATCTCTGTTTGCCCACCAAAGACTTCAGCGAGAATGTCCTGATGCATTCTGGGAGGACTGGGATTACAGAGAGTTGGGAAATCAGCAAGAACCAGAAACTGGTCTATATGACGCTGGACGATTGTCGCCGTGAGCTGAACATCCCACATCCACTAAGCAACAAAATGTTCTGCATGAGGAAGCAAAATGAACCATTCAAGTACCAAAATGAAACACAAGAGAGCCCAGGAGCTCAGAGACACCCTAATGTACACCTTGAGATTCCAAAGAGAGGCCACAGGCATCAAAACAGACCTTTAGGGAACCAGATTGGAGTCCAGGGAAGGCTTCAAGGGCGCACGGTGAATAGGCTCCAGAATCAAACCCAAAACAAAAACACTAACCTCAGGCTGCTGAATAAAACAGCAAGCTACAACCACACTTCAAAAGCTCTGAATTTTGAGTCCTCGCATGGGGTCAGCAGGTCAAATTTAGAAACCAGCAACAGGCCATGTGGCGGGCTGATGCCAGGGTCGCCTGTAGCCACAGTAGAGCAAGGCACAGTGTTCCTGACCGGGCTGCTAATCTCATCACCGTCTGAGTGTGAGGCCAGCGGCGGTGGTTTGGTGTTCAGCAAACTGTCTCGTTACCTGAGCTGGATCCGAATGAGGCTGGAGGTGATCGAGAAGTTAGCCATGACTCCCCAAGTGAGACAATATCCAGAAGCTCGCTAACAGATCGCCACCATCTGAAACCGACTCACCTGTTCTTGTTCACTTGTAACGTTTTTTTTTTCTTATTATTAACAGCTGCCCTCCCTAAAGACTGAAAACTTTGAACATAAATCAGTTTTGCTGAGTCTCTTGTCCTACTTTCAGTTTCTTTTTTCCAAATGGTCACAACAAAAACACAGAATTGAAACTTTCTGCTGCTGAACTTCACAAACGTTAAGTCATGAATAATATTTGTATTTGAAATGTGTAAATTAAAATGCTTTTGAAAAAACAAATTCCAGTCTCTTAATCTCGCGATGACAAAAGTTCTGCTCAAAATAAAACCTTTGACACCCACAATTCATAGCAACAAATGTAATAACCAGATACAAGCTCTACAAACCAACATCTGTTTTATTCGACATGTCTTTAAAGTAAAAAATAAAGGAAATATGAATTGAGTGAAAAAGGTTTCCAGGAAAGCAGCCCTGTAGAATTGTCTCATAGACTATGAGACAGAGGACAGAGGAGGGAAGGGATTCTGTTTGCTGACCACGAGCTTCTGGTGCTGGTGGGAGATGTAGCCTTTGATGTGACCCTGGAAGACGACAGGAAACACAGAAGAAGAGCTCAGCATTTATTTGCCAGTTCACCTGAATCTAAGTGGCTTTTTATGTTCCAGTTTCCTCACCATGTAAATGAGGTTGGCCAGGATACATTGCACCTCGTCGATGTCGACATCCTCCACCTTCATCATCCTCAGAGCCACCAGGAAGGCCTCCAGAGGCAGCTGGTGAGTCCTCAGCAGCAGATACCTGCAGACAGAAATCAGTCAGGGTACGGTTCATGTTTTCGGAGATTACAGAGAAAATTATTTGCTATTAGTCATTTTTTGATTGAGATTACAGAATAAAACTATAAAATCTGAATAATATCCACAAACAAGGGAAAACACCTAAACAAGGCGCTAAATTTGAGGTCCAAATGCTCTCAAAAATGAAGGGAGCAATCTTCATAAACAAAAAAACATTAAAAAAAGTAATATGTAAAAAGAATTTGATTACATTTCAGTTTGTGTGTGTGTTGGTAAAACAGCTACTGAACCACTCACACTTTCTTGAAGAGGTTCCTGTAGGTGATGATCTTCAGCTTCTCCAGGATGAGGAAGATCCCGCAGCGGATGAAGAAGGTCTCGTGTTTGGACAAAGCCTCATTCAGCAACAGTAAGTTCCCTTCACTGACACAAACATTTACCTGTGAGCCCACATGACGTGATGTCACTTCCTGTGATAATGCCACTGCCCCTCTCCTTACCTCACAGCTTTGGTAACATCAGAAAACTGCATGAGGTCGTACTTCCTAAGGAGTTGATGAGTTGGCATGTGACCCTGAAACACCAACAACAACCAGTTACCCTGGGAACCATTACACTGCTCCCATGATGCAACAGTCCTGACAGTCCTGAGTGTAAACTGGTCTGGACTTTCTAATCAGGATCTAAACTGGTGTAAACCCATTTTACCAAATCCAAAAAGGTTCTAAAGTTTCTTACCAGCAACATCTTGACAGGCAGCAGGTAAATGAGGATCATCCTCTTGTTCTTCTGGCTGGATCGATGACAGTGATCAAAGGCGTATGACAAGAACTCCTCGGCTACAGAAACAAAAAATGATTTTAACTGTACTCCAAACCTGAATCGTTTAACAATTTCAAATAATGTTTAAGCCGACACTGCGCCATATCTGTAGCAGTGTTACCCAGTTTGAAGTCACTGTCGAACATGGCTTTGCGGCCCACGTAGTATTTGTAGGTGACCTTCTGAGCTGGACTGTAGTCATTCTTCAGGTTGGAACTATCAATGGCTCTAATCAGAGGTTTGCACAGGTGCAGCTTATTGATCTGCAACACATAAACCTGCAGCTATAACCAATCACCAAATCTCCATCGATGATTCATAAACTGGGTGTTTCAGTCACTAATTATTGAGTTTAGACCTTGAAATAAATCTTGAAGAGCTGGTTGCTCAGAAACATCATCCCCCACTTCTTTGAGTCCTCAATACCTGCACGACTACCAACATTGAAAATGTCAATATTAACAAGGACGTCCATTAAACATGAAATATAATAGTGCATAAAATGGGAATTATAATCAACGCATACACAGAGGACGTGTATATTTACTGACTTGTCACTGGCACAAACTCTGAAGCAGCTCATCAGCTGCTCTGCTGCTTTCTCCAACATCTCGCTAGGCTGACCTTTACCCTTCTTCTGTAGCTGCTGCTCCGCCTGGACACAAAATTAAAACCCACTTTCAATAACTTTCAATCACACCTGAAGGTTTTCACCTGTAATTTCCTGGTCCTGTCTCTATACAAATTTCTTTACGTCAGCTGTTTTATTTGCATTTATAGAGGAAAATGGTTACATTTTTTAGTTTTCTTACTATAAGTATAAATACAATACTGAGTACTCCTCATTTCTTTATATATTTTGCTAGGAAAATGGGAAACCAGTGCAAGCATACATGGAAATATAGCATATAAGGCAATCACAGGGTTGTTACAAATCTAACAAGGTTGAAAGTCAATATTTGCAAAATCTAAAGAAATGAGTTGAGGCTCAAGACTTTTGTGCAGGACTGTAAATAAATACACATATATGGATGAATTTGACTGCTGAACAGATAAAAGAAAAGCCGTTACGTTGTTGGCGAATATCCGGAGGTCCAGAGTGACAGCAAACATCACTGGCAGAGCCCTGAAACAGAGGGCAGTGATGGTGCGTTCAAAGGCAGCACGTTAGAATCAGCTTCAGTCTGCTACTTTGAAACTGAACTCACCAGTTCTCCTCTTTGTGGGACTGAAAGGCCTTCAAGAAGGACGTGAGGAGTCAAGGAGCTGATCAGACTGATTAGTGATTATTTACTGAAGGTCAGATTGTGTGATTAAGAGACCAAAAAGTCACTTTATGAAGGATATTGAACAACGAGCGTCTGGAACTTGTAGGCTTCAACAAAGTCATGGTTGGCTACAGCGTAGGTACACCTGAAACACACACACAGCCATTTTCTTTCACCTTTATGTCCTCACAACACCACTAAAGCATCACCGTCTGATCCGTCGGTCCCACCTGAGGTGAGCTGCGACCATCTCATCGTACGGCGGCTCCAGAACCTGCTGACACTTATCCTCTGGACTCGCCAGCTGTAACACACACACACACACACACACACACACACACACACACACACACACAGGTGAGGCTGTGTCCTAGCAACATTCAGAGTTTATGCGAGGCAGCAGTGGCTGACCTGGAGACGGGGGTTGGCAACATGCGGGTGTTTGAAGGACAGCAGCTCAGCACAGAAGGAGCCCTCGCGGTTGTCGATGGCCTCGTAAACCTTCAGGAGGAAAATGAGACAGATTCCAACCAAATTACATAAAAAATGTACATTTCAGACACAGTTAAAGGTCAGAGGTTACCTGCTGCAGGTACTGGTTGATGGTGATGTGAGCCATGAAGGCCTGCTGACCCAGCAGCTGTCTGGACCTGAAGAGAAAAACCAGTTTAACTTCACTTCAGTTTTCACTGTTACTCATGTATTCATGTTATGAAACAAACAAACGTGATGATCTCAAAGCTCCAGCACAAAAGAAACATTATTGCTGCACAGTTTGGCTGCTTGAAGGGTGAACCTCAACTTCAGTACAGTAAGAGTCACCACAGCAGATCATCGTCCTTTGTCACACCAGCCCTCTGCATCCTCCTTCACTACATCCAAGACTCTCCTCTGAGGTCTTCCTCTTCTTCATATTCAACAATCTTTCCTAATATATTCCCATCATGATTGACCTCTGGCGCTCCTGGTATCCTTTCCACTTATTCACTTGCACACACATTGTATCTAACTTCCTTCTCTCAGATCTCTCCCTTTACCTGCACTAATCTGTTATGAGAATCTCATTCCTTATTATCTTTATGATGTTTGCTGGTCAAGATTTTTACTCCTAGTGCCTGGGACCAGCACTAGTGACTTGAATTACTTTGTTTGCATTAATGTAAATCAGGAATAATTCAGTTTTATTTTTTTCTGTAGAATCGTTTGATAAATAAACGCAAGCATTATTTTTTTTATATTTTTATAAATAATTGTTTGATTTATTTATTTTATAACACGTGTTTTACGTTCAGGTGGGTCTAAATCAGTTTAAATATAGAGCACATAAGAATATTTACTTCAATTTTCAATTCAATTCAATTTTATTTATATAGCGCCAAATCACAACAACACTCGCCTTGATTTGTGACCATTATATTATATGGTCACTATTTTCTTTTACTTCATATTAGCTTATGATAACTCCTCTTTACAACCTGCATCCACAAACACTCTTAAATTTAATATCGGAGGCTGATTTTTATATTTAAAAAAGAAAAAGAAGACACAGAAACAGAAAGTCTACGATCTTATTTTATTAAGATCTTAATAAATTAAATAAAAGCGGATTTCTCGCCGGGTTTCTCTGTGAAACTGACTCCAACCAGGCAGCAGCTCTCTTTTCGCTTTAATTCCTTCGTTTCCGGTTAAAATCCTACGTTTAATCGCAGTTTCCGGTTGATAACAGACAACAAGTAACAACACAAACATAAAAACGAACAACAGACAACTACCTACCTTCAAAACAAAAATTTAATCTGAAAATAAGTCCCAAATCCACTATTTGCGTCCATTCAACTGATGCACACCACAACAACGTCCGGGTCTTTGGGGAGGGGGGTCATACTTCCGCTACATTTCCACAATAAGAGGCTATAATTCAAAATAAAAGCATTACACTATACCAGCTATCACGACGAATGGTCAAAAACAACTAAATATATGTTTTTACATATATTTTATCTAAATATATGTTTTTACATATATTTTGACATGCATTTTACAAACATTTTGACATGAACACACTCTCTCTTAAGTCTTTATTGACACACAGCTGAATCACAACCTCTCTCTTTCTGCAGCAGAAAACAAACAAAAAACAACAACGAGAGCAGAACAATTATTTGGTGTTTTTGCTGACTAAATGTTTTAATTTAATTAATTTAATCTTCAAATTATCTTTTGTTTCTGCTTAGCAGCAATAGATCCGGAGAAACAACAATAAGAAAGCAACATCATCAACAACAAAGACATGAATCTTTTACCTCTGACTCCAGAGGGCACCATAACACCACAGAGTTTGCAAGACCTAACATTGATTTGATTTATTTTAACACTTTGATTCAGCAAATGATATAATGTTGATTTACATGTGACTTGATGAGCAAGTGGCAACCACTAAAACTCCCTGCTAGAGACCTTTAATATCTGCAAGAAAAGGGAGCCAAATTTACTGTCAGGTAAAGGGGAATAATTTTAATTCCATTCTCTATATTATATACTGCAACTCTTCAAAAGTCCTAAATAATGCTCCAGCTCTTTAAGGCTCTTCTCCATATGAAAGCTCACTTCTGTTTGATTTCCCAAAATCTGGAAGAGAGCTGAGGGGCAACACCTTGATCCTGTGAGCTGTGATGTTGGAAACAGAAAATTCAGAGCAGTGTACATAATTTAACATTATTACTTTAAACTCTGGACAGGTTTAAATGAACATCTGAGATGGTAACATCAAATATATGACGTATATCATAGCAAATTATGAATCTATTATGTTTCTAAATGTAGCTCATCAAGGCCCTCCTCCCTAAAAATCTGACTGGCCAACATCTCAAAGCCAGCACTGAAAGCCTATGAGCCGTGATGCTGGAGACAGAGGATTCAGAGCAGTGTGAAGTCTCAAAAGAAATACTTTTACATAAGTTTGCTTCATTATTTTTAACTTTAGACAGGTTTAATATGAATATCTGACACTGTGACATTAAATACATGACAACAAATCATGAAAAGCATAATACATCTCATTTAAAGTCTTAGCATGATTTGCTTTTGAAAATAAACCACATTTATCTTATACTTATCTTATTCAGCCCATCAGTTCACTTTTGATTGGCGAACTTCTGGAAGCCTGCAGAAAATTTGAAATTTCATAAATTATAAATTGAGTATAAAGAGGAATCTGAAGCCCAGGCTGTTGGCTAACATTAGATTTACATATGTTCATCTCACTGTTTTACATTTTTATTACCAATAAATATGGGGGGGGGGGGGCGCCCAACAGTATTGGTTTAGTTTAAGTAACCAAAAGAATATTTGGCTGTCAGTAGATGCTTACTATAAGACATTAGCAAATATTTACCTATTAGATTTTAAAAGTGGCCCCCAGTGCTCATTAGATTGCATCAACAACCAGCAGGTACATGTAACCATTTTATTTACAGGTATTTACTGGTTAGCTGCTAACTAAAACGGTTGCCACTAACTCAAATAACACCGTCACTCATATGTAGCTACCAGTTGCTAACCAGTATCTGCTACTTACATGCAACAAAGGCCAGCAGTGATTACCTTTATCTACTAATAGCAGCCACTAGCAGACGTCAACAGCCACTAGAAGTTCCCATGTAGGAGTTGTCACTGTTATCTATAAGTAGTCACAGCTGCTAAATGAAATAGTAGCCACCAATAGCTGTGGTACAAGCAGCCAACTGGCCACTTCCTGTGGCCTCGGTCTAAAAGTCATAGAAACCAGTCCATCAACCCCAGTCAACCTATGGTCGCTGGGAAAAAAAGTGTATTTCCTGAATGGTTGGTGAGTGCTTGTTGGCTGTTAGGTCACAAAGTCTGTCATAAAGAAGGTGCTGCACCAGAAAACCTCCATAAGACTCTTTTGGTCACTAACAGACTGCTATGTTAGCCAAGAGTTTGCATACATAGTTCACAGTTTACCATCAGATAAATGCTTTGTCTTACTGCTGGACCCAACGTGTATAAGAGGCTCCAACTTTTACTAGTAGGTGACCGGTCTCTGTTTCCAATTTCACTAGTGGGTTATGAACTCTTGATGAGTATTTGCAGATAAGTTGGCTTATTACCTGAAAACTGTGAGTCACTGCGGTAATCTGGTACCCACCAAAGCAACTTTTAGGAGGTGTTTTGTGCAGCACCCTCTTTGTGATTAATTTCACAAAGCAACTGCCAGAAACCACTCGCCAACTGGTTGAAGACTACATATTTTTGGGGTTGGGGTTGGGGATCTCTGTCCCTATGTGATTGTAGCCACAAGCAGATACAAGTAACCATTCCTTTTGAAATGATATCTATACAAATAGTCATAAATAGTTACAAATAGTGTTTAAAATATATATATTTTTTATCAACTGCATGATATGAGTAGCCATGAAAGCTTACAGTACTCTATGTACAAATAACCAGCAGCTGGTTACTATCAAATAATCTCACTGAACGGTTACCACCAGGTTACTAGTGTGTAGTGGGTTATCACTGATTAATTTGGCCAATCACATCACATTTCAGAAAGAGTGTGTGGGACCAGGCGGCCATCCAGCCCCGCCCATCCGAGTGTGACCAGGAGGCTGCATGAGTCCCTCGCTGCTGATTGGTCCATGGTGGAGCCCGGCGCAGGGTGAGTGGGAGGGGCTCAGCTCGCTGCATCCAACTGTCCACAGACAAGGGTACTGACTGAAAACACACACAGATAGTTCATTTAATCTGAAAAACCAGTACATTTACCATTTAAAGCTGTGGGATGGGTTTCACCTGGAGCTGTGAGGAGGAGGAGGCTGTGATGAAGGGGCGCTGCTACTCAAGGGAATGGAGGCAGAGGAGGGTGAGGAAGAAGATGAGGTGGGACGAGGGGAGGAGGTGCTCCAGCCATCAGATATCACCTGAACACCTTCAGAGAGACACACTGAGAGCACACAAAGAATCCAGAATTTAGAAACTGCTGTGTTCATTCAATATTGAGTAAAATATTGAATAAAAACCAAAAGACTTAAACAAAAGATAGGATTTTGAACACAAAACAAAAATCTGTAAAATGTACTTTTTTGCTAAATAAGAGTAAATATATTTTTATATATATATAT